TATACCAGCGTCGTGGTGTAGTGTTTCATCCCTGTCTCTTTTTTTTTGGGTGCCTGGCAGTTGAGGAAGTTTTCTGTTATATCCTAACCTTCCAAGACGCTTCCCATGGCTTGGCCACGCGATCGAACCCGACCTGATCGTCGGGAAATCGTAAGGACCCGGAGAAAGAATCCCGTAGGGTGTCCATCATCGGCGAGCAGTCCCGCGGCGCACGACCCGCGGTGGGCGTTCTCCTCGTGAGGGCTAAAATTTGTCATAAGGCATTTCTGTTCGCTTTCGTGTTACGAGGGGGAAAAAAAGGGGGGGGGATCGTCGGTCGTGGTCGTTCCCTTTGATGGTGGTTTATGGGACACAGCTCTGGTGGTGCTCGGCGGGCTGGTGGCGCTGGTGGCGCTGCTGGGCATGTGCGGCGTGGCGCTCAAGTCCAACATGGTGCTGCGGCTGTACTTTTGCCTCATGTTTATTATTGTGCTCGCGGAGATCTTTGTGGTCGTCTTCTCGATCACCCAGCGTGCGCAGATGGAGCACCTGCTCTCCAAGGGCTGGCGCAACGCTGGGCAGGGCATGCGCAATGATTTCCAGCGCAGGGAGCACTGCTGCGGGTTTGAGACGCCGACGTCGCCGTCGAACACGGTGTGCGAGGCGTGTCCGGACCTGGGCAAGTGCCGGCTGCCTGGGTGCAAGGAGGCGCTGGAGCACGAAGTGAAGAAGAACCTGCTCATCATCGAGATTGTGGGCTCGGTGGTGGGCTTGCTCCAGCTGATGGGCCTGATCTTTGCCTGCTGTGCCATCCAGGCCAAGAAGCGTGAGCAGCGCGCCCGCTGGGAGCACGGCCGCCCGCTCCTTGGCCCGACCTCGGAGCGCTCGATCAACGCCACAGACTCGGCCTTCCCGCGGCCTGTGGTCTCGTCGGCCACAGTCGGCGCCAAGACCCACAACTTTGAGCCGGTCGCCCTCTACGACGACAGCCTGCGTGGCGAGTCGAGCCGGCCTACGCCTGCGGCCACCACGTGGAAGCCCAAGTCGACGGCCGAGATGATCCAGGAGATCCGCGCCGAGAAGGAGGCCGAGCGCCAGCGTGCGCTCAAGGACGGAACGCCCGACTTTTGATCCATCACAAACACACACACACACACACACACACGTACTTTACGATGCACACGCTTCCGTTAACACTCACTTCTTCTTGCGCTTGAGGTTGAGCCCGCGTTTCTTCTTGGTTCGCCCTGCGAACGTCGAAGCCACCACAGGTCGCTTGCGCTTGGGACTCGACGAGAGGCCGCCTACACCAGCACCACCCGACGCGGCTCCAAGCACAGCGCCTAGCGAGATGGTCTCCAGCCCGTGTGAGGCAAGGAGCGCATTGGCCTCCTCAATCTTACGCTCCAGCTCGTGGTTCCGCTCGCTGGCAAGCTGGAGGGCGAGGGCGAGCTCGTTACGGACCGACTCGGCCGACTCGACCTTGGCCACCAGCGACTCGATAGAGGGTGCCGATGACGAGCTTGCTGGCGTGCCGGCAATGGCAAGCGCGGGCGCGACGCTTGAGCCAGACGCGCCGGCGTGATGAGGAGTAACAGCGGCTGGTGGCGGCTGGCCCAGGCGTGGCGCGGCAGAGGCGAGCGCAATCAGCAGCGCCTCAAGATTACTCCGAACGGCAGTCCTGCTCAGCTTGGCGAGTTTGATGATGACGTTGTGCTGGGCATGGCGAAAGGTGATCTCCATCTTGCCAGAAGCGACCAGACCGGCGATGACGGCGTCGTCGATGACCGGATCAGCGAGAGCGGCGACAGCAGCGT